TGCGCTTGAGAACTCAATCCATAATAAAAAATTCTCTTATGCCTTCAAATTAGAAATCGAAATGATTAAAAATTCTCCAACGTTACTCGCATCATCTTCGAAAATCCGAAATATATGGTGTGTACTCGATTTAAATTTAAAAATAATTTAATGCTTATCAAATACCAACAGTTTTTGGAAATTGTATGCAACAAAGGTTAGTTCCTATTCTGCATGGGTAAAATTTTGAATATACTGGCTAGTATCGACTCTATCTTTCAGCAGAATATTATTTGATCATTTAATATTTTTCAGCTTTTCAGTCTAAGGTTTTTTCCTTGGAAAACAGCAATTTGTCTTCTGTTATACAGTTTACTCATCTCGGAAGTTTGGAAATACAATTTTGATAATTTTACTGAAAAATACATGCTCTAATTTGGTTTGTTCTACAAGAAATTGCTTTGATTCTTAAAACAGCAATGAATAAATTATTAGCTGTGATCATTCCAATAAATATATATATAGTGGAGTTTGTCATGGGTCCATTGGATCCCAGACAAAGGAATTGAATTGTACAGCCATCAGAATGCAAATTTTGAATAAGAACTTCAAGCTCTTTCCAGAGGAGTTCATTCTCATTGCCCAGTTCATCAATTGGCTGTTAATTTAATGGTTATGATGGCAGAGTCAATTGTAAGATTTGTTGGTTAGCTCAGAATATTTAATATGGTAATTAAAGTTAAAAGGCCCTTTAACACTAGGTTCTGACTTCTCCTCTCAAAGAGGAATGAAGGCTTTTATACCCAGGAGTTTGGACTGGACTGGAGGTGGGGTCAAGTTGCAACCTGATTGTCCATATGTTCCATCACTAGGTTCATGCTGTGCTCCATGCTGTTGCTGTGAATTAGCTCTAGATAGGAAGAAATCAGGTGATTTCTTCCTGGCTCAGGATTGGCTGATCTTTGTAAAGTCAAACAAGGGATAACCACTTCTTGTCCTTGAGTGAGGCTCAGTGAGTCCTGCAAAAATGGGATTTTTGAAAGGCTCACTGGCCTTGGAAATTCAACACATTTTTTGGGCCAGTTTTGGCCAGATGCTGGAGCTGCGTAGCTTTGGTACGCGACAGAGTTCCTCAATGGCTGAGTAATCGTTTGAAATGCAGAATGGCTTCTAAAATTTTCCTGAAAGTGCTTGTTTACCCAGTTTTCAAGTATTGAATGGCACAAAAACACATATGGGCAAATAAATGCAATACAAATTCTGGAAGAGCTCCCACAGTGTTTAAATTTCAAGCTTCAGTAAGCAGCGTTTTCTGGTTCCAACTTCAAGTTTTCTTGAAGAAATTTATTCACTTGTCATGCAATTTATTATGTGAGACAAGATCCACTCTTAACCCATGGGCAGCAAAGTTGGACTATTTTTGCAAAATTTTGTTGCACCTCAGGGCAGAAAATAAAAAAAGGACAACAGGGATTTGAGGACAAAGTCAGGGAAAAATCCAATGTTTTTTTCTTTTTGCACAGAAAAATTTCATGGGAAAATGAAAAAAATGCTATGCTAAGCAAAGGGCTTTTCTTGGATTAATCCCAACTTTGCCTCTGCCCACCTGGAAGGTCTTTTCTGACCTTCAGAAAAATGAAAACGCCCCAGCATGCAAAAATAATCCAATTTTGGCCAGCAATGGAAAAGAACCCTTTGCCGTCCAAGGATTAATGAGTTTAAAGCTTGCTGAACTTGTAGGCAGGGATTCATTTGTTCAATGAGTCCTTCAATTTATTTCAAAATGCATAAAATAATTTATTTTGTTGATTTTATCTTTAATATTTCAAGGAAATAATAACCAAAAGGCATTAGAAAATTCAATTTACAGAGGTTTGGGAGAAGAATATTTTGAGTTAGGGAGGTTTTTAATACATTGTTTCTATGGGAATCCAGACAGGGACTTTAAAAAAATTTGAGTTAGGGAGGTATTTGACTTAAGGAGGTTCGACTTAGCAAGGTTCACTGTATTTGGAAAAAAGTCCGCCGTTTATGCGTTGATGTCGGAATTAGTTCCAAACATCTGACATGCAGAGGAATTATCGGTTGGCAGAAGTCAACTTTTTCAACAACAACAAAAAACCCAACCTTTTCATCCCCCCCCCCCAAAAAGCACAATTGGACCAAACCCAAAAATAGTCAAGTGGATGCTTGGTGAAGAGAAACTGTACCTGGCTGAATGATGATTATCCAGGACATATATTCTGCATACTGCATATTGTTTTTTCTTGCTTCAGCAGAGATTAATTTTTCCGAATTCAATGTACTGAACATTATGGTATTTAATTTAGAATTTGAGTACATTTTGATAAGGATTGGTTTTTACGGATGACCTGTAATATTAAATATCTCAGGCTTTCATCCCAAAACAATAACAAAAATTCCTGACGATAAGGAAAAATACAGTACTGTAGAATGTTGTTTTAATGAATTATTTCTCATCATATCTACAATGTTATTGGCATTTTTATGCTGTACAGTATTCGATTTTCAAGAAAACCTTTTCTTGGTGGCAATTTTTTTTGTTGGCACAATATGTTACTGTTCCGTACTTGCCTAATTTATTGTAGCACAATTGAATAGCCATTATATTTTGTGTTTCTTGTGAAAATGTCAAGAAAATGCCAATCACCCCCCCACCCAAAATACAGTGTACTCATATAATACTATAACATGATACAGTAGCTTTTTGTGGAAAGGCTAGATGATGAAACCGTGCCAAGATTTCTTCTTCACACAGGGTCATTAATAAATTGTTTGATGCCAATTTTAAGTTTATTCTGATGAAACTAATGTCACTTGATATGTTTTCTCAGAAGTCAGTGGAATTTGGCTTGCTTCCCATATGGAAAAGGAGGCTTGAATACATTTCAAAAATGCAGAACTGCAAAAGTTATGAGTAAGTTAGTCATGTCAGTGGAATTTGGCTTGCTTCAGATATGGAAAAGGATGCTAAATATATTTTTAAAATGCAGAAGTGAAAAGGCTATGAAAGTCAATTTGCCCCCTTGTTGAAAGGGCTAAGGTTCGAAATTCAACAAACGATTCATGTTTCATGAGCTGGAGTTTTCTTCTGAATCAAAGAGGTGTAAAGTGAAGAATTTCATTCCATGGATTGGATGTAGCAGTTGATTCTTTCAGTCCCCATCATTTCCAGTCTTGTAAGGAGTCGGTTGAATACAAAGCTAAATTCCAGAACCCCACATTATTTCGCGTCCCCTTTTTTGTGCGTTCACCTGGCACAATGCCAAGAATACGGCTCCTTTTCGAGACACGGTGGACAATTGGCAACAATATTGGCGTTTTATTGCCTTCCAGGAGCAGCCGTTTATTTGAGCAGCTATACCGCGCATAATAAAAGAGGGAACCTGGCGTAAGCTACCGAGGGAATAAGCTAGAAAATTCTAGATTTCAAAATGTATAATTTTCAGCTAGAAAATGTATGAAGATTAAATTTTACAAAATTTTGAACAACTGATTGTTCAAAATTGTAAGAAATCGAGTATCTATAAATTTTGAATAATTAATTGTTCAACATTTTATAAAATCAAATCATGCAATACACTTCTGCCCTCGCAACATAAATAATTGAGCAATCATTTCATCCAGCAGTTTGATCAGTTTATTAAATAACATATAACATAATTTTCACAGTATTTGTATTTGAATGAAAATAAAAATGGCTGTGGGGTAAATATACAGCATAGTCAGATTTAGTATGTATGATTTGCATTGTTTTACATAGAAACTATAAGTTGTGTTCAATATACTGAATATAGTGTAAAATCCATATGCAGCGTATACCATTGAAATTTTAGAAAAATCTATCCCGTGATGCCGATGGAAGGATTAATTTGAGTGCGTTTCTCCCACTTGCCCGAATCCCTTCTGTTTGTTGTGTATAGCGACATCTGTGTGGCACATTATGACCTGCGACAAGGATTGTGCGGGCATCCGCCGCGCCCGGCAGTGCGCCTCACGGCGGAGCTGGGGGCAGTATCCATCAGCATCAATGCAGTGTCCGCGGGGTCTTCCGGCATATGAATAAAATAACTGCATAGGAATGTCGATGAACTCAGAACCTCATCCTGGCGCAGTTCCGAATTGTACTGCGACTACTGCCCCCCAAATCTTGTGGAAACATGGATGTCCCAGGGTTCTCAATGTGCTGTCTGAATTATGAATTGCAGTTGTTATGAGTCCAATCCAATTTTTCAATAGGATAGTTGATGTTAATATTATTGTTGACCACCCTTCATCGGCAGTGAACTAGATCTTCTAACGAGGAAGGCAAGAAATATCGACCAAGTGCGAATCACAAGAAGAGAAGCATTTTGTTTTGTTTTTCCCGCTGATTTTTTTTTGCACCAGCAGCAGAAATACAGTACTGTATATGAATAAAGCGCAAGTACTGTATAATTGATTATATAGATGATGGTAAAAGGATAAGTGTAATTTTCCAGAGATTTTCAACAGTGCTAGCTTGTTTTGAAAGGATCACAGCATCACATAAACAGCTTCAATTCCCTTTTTTGTCTTGAACAATTATTTTAAAAATTAAAGTCAAATCAGCTGCAGGTGACACCCGGAGAACGTCATCATGAATTATTTTTCTCAACACAACAACCAGCTGCAATTAGGAATAATTTTCCCTCGAATGCCAGGAATATCATGATATAATCAGCAGACAAGCTCTTCTAATCCTAAATCCTAATTAATGAAACAATGAGAGCAATCCGAACTCAAGATGAGAACAGTTCTGCTGTGCTGCGTATACAAAATTTACTTTGAGCGACCCCTATGTGATAATTGTTAAGGGCAACGCAAAATATTCTGGCAGCCGCCGTACCTTGATGTGCGCTGTGCGGCGAAATTCGACATGGTTGTGGGAAAGGTGGGGTGGGGGGCAGTTAAGTGATCTGACCGGATGAGGTGCTGAGTGGTTCCCCTCGAAATCTGAGTGCATGGACAGATATAGTTGAAGTTATCGTGTTTTTCAGGTTCCAGATGGGGATGATTTCTTTGCGATGTGCTTCATTCGTTTTTGTGCTGCTGTTCAATGTAGCTTTTGCCCTTAGTGAGTGAACAAAATCTCAGTCGCAATATTTGAAATATTGTATTAACTGATGCTGCATTCGTTCGTAGTCCAATCTCCACCCACAATGATCAAGCAGCCGCCAGATGATGAGCTTCTGTTTCAAGTAGCGGAAAGACAGGACGAATTGGACAAACCGTTTATTATTGAGTGTGAAGCCGCTGGTGAACCCCCACCAACTTATTCTTGGATCAAGAATGGGAAAAAATTCGAATTTCAACCGTATGACACGCGAATCTCCCAGCAACCCGGAAGAGGAACTTTGGTCATCACAAAGCCGCGTGATGAAGATCTTGGCTACTATCAGTGTTTTGCCACAAACACGTGGGGTACTGCCATGTCGAACTCCGTACATGTACGGAAATCGGAATTGAGTGCCTTCAAGGAGGAGAAGTATAAAACTTTGGATGTTGACGAGGGCAAGCCATTTAGCTTGACATGTAATCCGCCCGATGGCTATCCAAAGCCACAAGTTCATTGGATTATCCAGGTATTCCCCGTGATTCAAATCATGTGTATGGATTCTTATTAAATCCGGTCCCTTACTCATTTCAGTCCGACAGTGGCGCTCTGCGGAGTATTAATTCTTCACGACTGACGATGGATCCTGAAGGAACTCTTTGGTTCTCCAACGTTACGAGGGAAGATGCTAGTTTTGATAAAGACTTCCGATACGCGTGTAGCGCGACATTACCATCCAAGAAGGAATACAAAGTTGGTAACTTCGTGAACTTGCGGGTACTTGCTTCAGGCAGTTCAGGCGGCCAAAATAAATACGCTGTAACTCGTCAGTACGTGAGCAGGAAGAACTTCAATGCTGTACGAGGACAGCAAGCAGAGCTTTGGTGCATTTTCGGTGGAACGTGAGTTTCGGAATCCTGGTATTTAGTGCTCGTATGCTAATGCTGTACCTGATCCAAAATAGGCCTTTGCCTGATATTCGATGGAGGAAAAAAGGAGGCCCAATGAAATGGGGTCGCTCGACGACGACCAATTATGGGAAGACGCTTGTTCTGAACTACGTAGATTTCGAGGACGAAGCACAATACGAATGTACTGCGACAAATGGGGTCGGAAGTGCGATGTCTTACTCCATTGACGTCAAGGTATTTGCGTTATTTAACTTTTTTTGCTTCGTGTTCGTTCAAGTTTTGTACGCACGTTCTATGCTTCTGTGTAGGTGGATGCTAAGCCAACCTTTACGGTTGAGCCCGAGTCGGCTAATGGTGCCGAAGGAGAAACAGTTCGATTCAGATGCGAAGCTGACGGTGTACCGAAACCAAAAATTGACTGGTATCACAACGGACTGCCGATTTTCAACGCGAAGACGAATCCGCGGCGAACCATAAGTCCCAACGAAATTATGATCGTGAATTTGGAGAAAGAAGATACAGGGAACTATGCTTGCAATGCTTCCAACACACTCGGATATGTGTTCAAGGTAAGAATAAATTTGCGAACTTTAATGATCGAAGAAAATATCTGAGTAGATTTGGAGTGGAACTCTGAATTTTTTGGAGGATTCATCATATCACATTATAGTCATGCACAATATTTGGTATTTTAATTGATTTATTTACTTTTTCGAAATCCTCGAAGTTGAATTCAAATCATCTCCTAATGGAAATTTTTCTTCGGAAATTTAGGACGTGTATATCAATGTCTTGGCCCTTCCTCCGAGCTTTGAGACGTTGCCGAAAGATATCACGACTGTCACCGGACAACCAGTAACTCTATCCTGTCGAGTCACTGGGGCGCCCAAACCCCTGGTGAAATGGCTGAAGGGTGGACAGGAGTTGACCGGTGGTCGTTTCAGGCAAAACGACGTCAACGATCTTGTGATAGAAGACGTTCGATTTGCCGATGCTGGAGTGTACACATGTCGGGCTGAGAATAAATTCAACGTTACGCAAGCGTCTGCAGCTTTGCTCGTGAAAGATCGGACCGTGATAAAGGACCGGCCCGCGAATTATGAAGTCGCTGCGGGACGAACGGCAACGTTCCGGTGTGACGCGGTTGCCGACTCGAGTTTAACCTTATCCATAACGTGGGAGAACCAGGACAGGAAAATAGATTTTGACACCGAGTCAAGATTCATTCAAGCGCAGGACATGTCGTTGACGATCACAAAGACTGATGAGCTAGATTCCGGAACTTATACTTGTGTCGCGTCGACCGAACTTGACTCTGTGCGTGCCTCCGCCACGCTGGTTGTGCAAGATGTACCGAATGCGCCCAAAATCACGTCCGTCGTTTGTACAGACAAAGATGCGACGATTTCTTGGCAGCCTATGGGTGACAACCGGGCTCCAATCCTCACCTATGTCATTCAGTACAATACTTCCTTCACGCCTGACTCGTGGGAGGAAGCGTTTGACTCCGTTCCTGCTGCTGATAATTCCTTTAAGGTGAGAAATATCATTTTATTCGCGAACTTCGGTCGCTGCTACTTACATCTGGCAATTTTACAAGTATTGCGCAGTAGAGTTGAACAGAACTATGAGTATGCGAGTAAATGACCGGTTGGTTGCCTTTGCCTGGATAATCGAACATCGGATAATTGGGGGCTTGCAGAAGCTGTAATCGAAGGGAAAAATGTAATTAAAATTAACGTATGAGCTGATTTACTGTTACAGGACATTTCTGGAGGATTTACGTAAGATGTGTTGCCTTTTGTGGAGAAAATGAAGTCGCTCGAAAATTTCAATTTACTGCGAATGATGCGTTTTTTCCATCAGTAAATTGACACCTGACTCTCGGTAATTGGATTCCGGGTTAGTCTGACTCTAGATTATATGGCTTATTATGTTTCTTCGACTGGGATTCGATTTTCGATGTAAAGTCATGGTTCCGTCTGAAAATTACAAGATCAATCCGCGGAATTTTTTAAATGTTTTCGGCGACATCATCGACAATTAGGGAACACAATATTTCGAATGTAGACCGCGTATTTGTGATATTCAAATGATCACGGTTACTAAGCGACCCTGTCGTGGTTAATTGAATCAAAGGTTGTTCAACTACTGTACGACAATCGAGCCTTGAAATTCAGGTTGACGGAACATAATAAAAAAATCGCTTTTTGGCGTGAAGATGGACCTCAGTATATTTTCAGTTGCATTATATCAGTGCTTCCCGACTCAGATTAGGCCAAGGGCCACGTCGATTTTATTTTTTTGTTGCTAAGGGCCACATCGCAGAGGTGGAGAGTCCTCGTGGGCCACAATAGACTTTAATTTCGTATGTATCATAAACATGGCCTTGTAGAATTTGTGAAAGATTTCGGAATTTTAAAATTTATCTGTGCACATACTGTACTGTTTTCTGAATAATGGCAGCTGCCTCCTTGAAAATTGTCGGGATGGGGCTTCGGGATAGATGAAGCATATCTGCCGTATATTGGGCAGAATGCATTATACCGTCGAACTTTTCCTAGTGAAACTAGAGGGACTAGCGACAAATTTTGAGTTATGGAAACAAGCATTTGTTTTAGGGGAAGGAAATAATTACTGGACATTTTAACCGGTAATAAGATGCTTCTCAAATGAGTTGACAGGATGCTAAACTTGGAGGGAAGGGTTTATTGGCCCAGTAAGTATCCTATTTTATTTACGAACACATCAGGCTAATTTCTAGAAATGCTTTCCTCTTTCCTGTGTCAATGCACGATCTCCAGAAAATTCCAGTTTTGGAGGTTTGTGGAGAGAAAGTCTTTGATTTAGGAAGGGCATTGTATCTTGAGTGAATTCAAACAGGGGCTCGAAAAAAATTCGACGCAGGGAGATCGATACTCGAATTATGGAGGTTCGACTGTATACCGATGTTTTGGGTGAATTCTCGATGTGAAAGGCTTGAACGGTTTTCGTCGTATTATCCCAGGTATCTCTAAGTCCGTGGGCAACGTATTCTTTCCGCGTGATCGCGAAAAACAAAATCGGTCCTTCGCTGCCTTCCGATGCTTCTAAAGAGCACTGCTCTACTTCTGAGGAAGTGCCACACAAGAATCCGGAGAATGTTGTGGGCCAAGGAGACCGGCCGGATAATCTCGTCATCCGGTGGACGGTGAGTACTGGACTATCGTATTGTCTTGTTTCGGCAATACCTGGATCCAATTGTCTTCTTGGTCACTTCACCGGTTTGCATTTTTTCTCCTCCGTTTCCTTTTCTTTAGCCGATGCCCCAAATAGATCACAACGCGCCGCGGTTCAAGTATGTCGTTATGTACAAGATGGATGAGCCGTCTTCTCAGTGGGATCTGCTTGAAATTGATGATTGGCGACAGAATAAGCTTGTAATCCCGAATCAGCCGACTTTCCGGCGGTACCTGATAAAAGTTGAGGCGCATAACGAGAATGGGGAGAGCAATATCGCCCCCAACGTCGTCATCGGTTATTCTGGGGAAGATGTTCCCTTGGAGGCCCCGACTGGTTTCTGCGAGGAGAATGTCGTGACACCGATCGATCACAAGACTGCGCTTTTCAAATGGAATCCGGTGAATCCCGACTCGTTGCGAGGACATTTCAAAGGATACAAGGTATGTGTACTTCAGCCTTCTTGTGCTCTGGAAGGTTTCTCGCGTTTCGTCGATAATCCGAAAAGTGAATGACGCGGCATCGGGTGAACATCGAAAATAGTTTGTCGTGAACGCAACGTTGACTCACAAAGTTATTTCTGCTCGACCAGATACCGTATTTATTCGACCACCAGGTGCATCTTTTTTTTTCAACAAACAGGGGCAAAAATGAGGTGCGCGTCGTAGTCGTGTACAAATTTTCTTGAAAAGATTTTGAAATTTTTCCCCAACTTTAAACTTTTTTCGAACCTCTTTTTTTTTAAATGATTCTTTGTTCCACGTAAGAAAAGACCGTAACGTTGAATTCAACTCTTCAGCGAGGTTGTATTTAGATGTTTACCTCATGTAGTTTTTAAAATACCGCATTAATTTTGGGAACTGAAAATCAGGGTGTGCGTCACGGGGATAGCATTTTTCCGAAATTTGAGCTTAAAAAAAACGAAGATGCCCGTGGTACTCGAGTTAATACGGGCAATTTATGTGCCGGAATGTGAAACATATTAGGAAAAAAAAGAGTTTCGCGAGAACACATTAGTCTAGCCAGAAATTACTGAAAGACATTTCTCTCTCTACACCTATTTTCATAGTTCAAGATATGGAGTAGAAAATTGGGCGAGGCGAACACGAGGGAAGTCAAAGTGACGAAGACAGCTACGGACGCTGTCGTGGAGAAGTTATTCCCCTTCGACGAAAACGTCGTGACGCTGAGAGTATACAACGGAATGTACGATGGGCCCCCGTCGACCGAGTGCAGGATTATTACGCCCGAAGGACGTGAGTATTTATTTGCTTTGTCGGAATGGGGCGAAGTGAGTAAGGAACCGGGTTACGGCTTTTGACGTAGGATGGTTATGGAATGATTTGCGACGAGGGAGAAGCCGGGGCAGATCCGTCCTCGTAATTGAATGTCCTCGGGTTGGGTTGATAACAAAGTCTGTCGTGCCATGGAATATTTTTTAGCTCCATTTCTTCGTCGAGTTTCGAATTCGTGTTTGCTGATTGGAGGTTTTTTTTTGAAAATCTGGTTCGGACGAGAGAATTCTTTGTACTGTATTCAGATGAACTATCTTTACAACGAACTTATAGGAACAAAAAAAAATCCGATGAAGAGAACATTTCGCCGTAGAGAACAACTATAAAATAGGGAGATAATCCTTTTTAACCATACAAAAATTCGTTATGCAGAGAAAATCGTTGTGCAAAAGATCGTTGTAGAGAGAGTCCATCTGTATTACTGAAACTGACCTTGATCATAAGAAATCAATTTTGGTCAATGAATCAAATTAATCAAGTCTGTTAAAATTACGTCTGCGAAGATAAAAATAGATAATTGTTAATTTTTAGGGCGTTCTCACTCTACTTGAATATGCAATTGTCATTACATTCCTTTGTAAGATTGAGCTGATCAAACCGTTTGATCGAAAAGCTGAACTCTAATCGGGATTGATTCAAGTTGTTTTATTGTTTTTTTCGTTGTTGAAAAAAGTATTTTTAAATGTTCGTGTTTGAGCGTAACTTTTATGAATTATCAATTTTTATGGTTGATACGAGTATTTCTTTCTGGGGTTACAATTTTTTGACTGAGAAGAGTGACGGAAAATAACATATCACCTGTCACATTCGCAGGTTTCATGACTTTTAGATTGGGATAAATGAGAGCAAATATTTCAACGGATGTCAAATGTTCCTTGTGACCGTGTCTTGAATTTTGAAACCGTGTTGCGTGAAAAACATTTTACGACTTATTTTGTTTGTGACGTGTAATGTGATGTTGGTGGGATCTTCAATTGTCAAACGAAGGTGTTGCTCGGGATATAATGAATGAAATTTTTCAGCCAATGAGCGAAATTTTGCAAGAAGTCTTAATGGTCGCCGAGTGGATATGAGTATTCCTACTGAAAATCTCTCGAGTATCTACGGAATTTCATCGCTGGGTTTTAGCGAATTTTTTGAATAGCCCCTCGTGTACATGCGTCGTTCGTATAATGAGTGCGATCGTTGATGCTCGGTGTACGAACGTATTTTATTTATCCCTTTGTTGACTTATTAGCAGTAATGTTTCTAATTAATGAGTACTTGATATCGATCTATTCGCAGCTCCGGGGCCCGTGGATGACATGAGAGCCACGCCGCTGGGCAGCTCCGCATTCCTGCTGACATGGAAGCGACCGAAGCAGACGAACGGAATCCTTTTGGGCTACAAAATCTATTTCCAGGAAGTCCACGGCACTCAGCTGGGTCCTATCGTCGAACGCGCTCGCGCCATAAATGATCCACGCGTGACTCAAGCCAAATTGCCGGGCTTGCAGCCGGGTACTCGTTACCGCGTCACCATCAAAGCCTACACTGGAGCAGGGGAAGGGCAGGAGTATTTCATTGAAGAAACGACTGGGAGCGGGGCTTCCGGTAAACCTGATCCGCCGACTTTTATGTGGGACCATTTGCCACCAGAGCCGGAGTCAGGGTCCGCGGGTGTGCGGATTACATGGTTGCCGAATTCTGAAGGAAAGCCGGGGTCGCACTTCTTTGTGCAATACAAGTGAGAAATTTTTACATGCCACCTGTTCCCGCGGCGTTGCATGTTCACTTTGCTGTAGTACAGTATTTTGCAATCATGTGGAGTCTTGAGGATTCTCCGCTCTCTGCGATGAATTGTTTGAATGCTGCTACTGCACTAGTGTACTGTATTCTGATTTCCCTGCACCGAAACATTTTCTGATGAATTTTCACACGTGAAAGCTCATCGTTTTGTGCAAGTCCCCAGCGTTATGCTACAATCGTGTAGGTGTCGCCAACACGCTCATCACATTTCGTTTTATTTAATTGCATGTTTTATAGGTAAAGCTTATTCATTGTGAGATTTTAGATTAAAGCGACGTCTGTCCAACGGTCGGCGATTCGAAATGAAGAAACATAATGGAGAAGAACTGAACCCATTTTTGCATTAAGCTATATGAAACATTTCGAAAAGCTGTCATCAAGCCTTGAACGAATAGATTGAAAAGCAATTCGTAGATTGCTCACTCTTTCAGTCCCTCTGAACGGCAATCCCGAGCTTCTCAAAAAACATTTTTCGCTAAATTTTATGCAGAGATAGGTAGAGAGGGGTTAAATAGATCGACTGTCGGAACAATGCTGTTCGATTTACTCTTCGGTAAAACTGGATCGCATTTATGCAAAGCGGAAAATGCGCGCGCAGAAGCGGTTTCTGTACTGTATTTGCATTTCGTACGCAAAGACATTTTTATTCTATTTGAGAAGACTTTCGGAGAAACGAAGAATACTGTACCTCCAAATGTGTCACGTACTGTAAACACTGAATGTTTGGGTTTTGGAGGACTGGAATGTTTACGCATCTGTCACTCATCTATGTTCAGAAAACGCGGGGAATCGCAATACTCGGAGACGCAGCCTGAGATGTTCGAACACTTCATGGAGGTGAGAGGATTGGATCCGGGCGAGATATACGAGTTTCGCGTTGCATCAGTGGACGGCAAGGCCTTTGAATTCTCCGATCCTCGTGAAATTTACATGGCTACCGAAGGTGAATAGAAACCATCCTTTTAGTGCCCCGAGAAATTGTAAAATGCAATATTCAATGAGGTTTGCTGCGAATTCCCGAGATAGCTATTCATCTTGATGAAGTTCTGTTCATGTCGAAATGGAGTCAGTTTAAAATTTACGAGAATCGATTATTCGCACACATGCAATTGTTGAAAAGCAAACCCGAGTTTGTATAATTCTCTCTCTGAGGGTATCATTTTACGCCAAAAAAATTCCCCTTGCTCCAATTTTAGTCTCCTCTGGAAATTTAAGCTCAGAAGAGGTCAAGGGGAATTGCTTACTCATATTTTTCAAGTCAGTGTGAATTCAAATTGGAATGCAGAATATGATGGTCAGATTTTTCTTTCAAACTAATCAGAATCCTTCGTCCGTAATATTTTGAACGTGAAAGAACGGTGGTTTCTGTATTTGTAGACAAATTCAAAGCGATTAAAACAAAAAGTTGAATGCAGTACTGTACATTAAAATATTAATTCGAGCGGCGCGCCATTTACGTGATGAACTCGTTTGAAAAGCTGATGAGTTTGAATCGGCAATGCGTTTTTTTTTCCAAAGGAATAGATACAGAGAGTCTATCGTGAAGATGACCGTCTACACATTTTTCGAAATCTTAAATTCAACGTTCAACACAGCTTTCACTTTTAAAGAAATGCGGTACATGAACATGTGCAAGGAAAGGATAAATTGTGAAGTTTTAATTTTTACCGCTTTTAAAGACATTTTCTTCAATAAAAAAGAAAACTTCGGTGATTTTTTAATGAGATGAATTGGTTGGTTTTGCGATAGGCGGACTGTTGGTAAGCTCGAACAACATAGCAACAGCCGGATGGTTCGTCGGCATGATGCTGGTAGTGACGTTCCTCATCCTCGTTTTAATCCTGGTGTGCATTGTAAAACGAAATCGTGGCGGAAAGTATGATGTGTACAGTCAAGAGCTTCATCACGGACCCCGTGACGGCGACGAAACCGGATTTCACGAATACACAAGACCGTGAGTGACAACCGAAAATTTCCTGAATTTTTTTGCGTTTCCCTCTTTCGTCACGATTGTGAGAATTCCGCTGGCCTCTTGAAATTCTCTGTCGTGCTATTTGTGTACAGTAGCTTCGGGGGCAAAAATACCTAAAGTAGGTCAACTGCGGATTGAGAGCGGAGTGCGCGTCATGGAACTAAAGCTTGTTCTAGTTTAACTATCCCAAGTTCCAAATGGAAGTACAGGACGGTATTAGTGTCGCGTTTTAAGTGTTTTTGATGGATGGGCTTGCGTAGGTTGGACGACAAAGCAAGTCATGGTTCGCTGAGCAGCAGCATTAAAGGCCCCGTGGAAAGTGACAATGACTCTATGGAGGAGTACGGCGAAGCTGGTGAAGCAGGTCAGATAATTTATGATCATAATTGCATGCTTTCCGTCCCGTTCGTTGCCACACCTTTAGAATTCTCTAGCCAAATTATCCATTTATCACCTTCTGATCTCGAAGAGTCTTAAAGGCCCGAAGAACCTCCGCTTTGCTTGATTGAATGCCAGCTTCTTGCTCCAATTTGATCATAATTTTATTCTATGACCGGAATGCATTTAGGTATTGCGTCAGATGTTTGTAATGCCGCGGGACGCAAGGGTAATTCGTTGCGTATGGTATGGTCGTTGGAATTTTTGCCCGTAGAATGTTTAGTATCTCTGTCTGTTCGTCTGCGGTTAAATTTTTGTGCTGAATCATGGCGTCAATTTCACGTTTAGTTTATTTGTGAGTCGTTCCATCGCACTCGAGTCAGTTATTTTACGCTGGAAGTTATTTTTCCTACAAATCTTTTGATTCCGGTGCTTGAGTATTTTATTCTGAGTACAGTACTGTACTGCTTAATACTACAGTATTACCAATGACTCACACAGCGACATTTGAGCGACTGCGGCAACTAAGTACTACTGTATTCGACGATTTATGTAGAGAATAAGCTAGTTCAAAAGGGGGAAATAATTCGGTTGTGAAGAATTCGATTTCATTAATGCTCTTCGCGTGAATGAAATTTGGAAATTTGAGTGTTCCACTAGATATATTTGTGAGTTGCTTGAAGTGTAATAATGTATAAGGTTGATTTGGCTACACTATTCCGTGCTCATTTTGTTTAGAACAGGAATTTCTAATGTTTTTATGTATCATTACGTGATAATCTCTCCGTACCATGTATGACTTTTTTTCAAATTACAGTATGATCTATTCTATTCAGTTGGCCTATTTATAAACTTCAATCAACGTCGTTTTGTCTTCCGCGCATTTTCAGCACAGTACTGTACACTTCAAATAAAATTTGTCGAAAGTTTTCGGAAGCCCAGCTTTAATCGCAGAAACATGAGGGTCAATGCTTGCTTACCACCGTTAAAAGCCGCGCTTCGGATGACCGACGTCTAAGCGACATCTGTCAGAGCATACGAGAAATAATTTCGAAAATTATTTTCACTGTAGTTTATCATCAGTTCGTATGAAATTAGGGTTATAGTGTCATCACATGTCAAAGAACTGCTAAGTGATTTTTGATACGTTTTGTACGGACTCTCATATTCCGCCGGTGTATTAATCCGGCGTGGGTCTTTTGATGGAAACCAGAAGTCGCTTCTCCGACGTTTTGCTTCGTTATACAGTAATTAGATTTCTTGGCATTTTCTTGCTCCTGTTGAATTATTACAGTTGCTACGTTGTTCTCTCGCTAAGTGGTCGCTGTGTGAGTATTTTCGAACCCAGTATTTCGATTTTTTAGATAGCTAGATTTAGTTTTGTTTGTTCCGCCTGTTGCTGTCGTGATTCCACCCACCCGTCGCCGCATGCCTAAACCCGAGTCGTTTTCGTGTGTTGCTCGTCGTGGAACCCATTTAGGACTGCACGAGGACGGGTCTTTCATAGGACAGTACGGGCGGAAGGTCCCAGGGCATCCGCAGTACGTACCACCGCCGCCGGCAACGGCGCCTGCCCACCACGCCCAGGAGCAGACAACGACAGGGTCCTATGCGACCCTTGTCTAAATCGCCTTGGTTTTATTTCATGTCCAAATTTTTTTTTTCTATTTCTTGCCTTTTTATTTTGTTTGCGACCCCCGCTCGCCTTGTATTGTGTGACCGTAGATCTGGACACCCCTGTCAGTCTTGATTTTGATTCCTGGTCAAGTAAGTTGCCGACGAACGATAGAACAGTAATTTCTCGAAAGTCTAAGCGTAGATTCGATGACTTGTGTTTTTATTTTTAATTTGAATTCTCGACCGCAGACTGAGCTTGATGTCGGTGGTAGAAAACGAACTTGACTAGTACCAAGGATCTGCATCGTTCCGTCCCGTGAATAATCAGTTTGTGCATGTTTACGTTATGATTTTTTTTTGTAAACGATTTATGCGTGTGGTTGGTGCTTTGTGCGAGTTTCTCGCTCTTGTATTCCTCGCTCAGCGTTCGTTTTATACCCGGCATTGTTTCCCCTCGATTCAGTGAATCACATCAGGTGTTCGCAAGGTCAACCGTCGAATACTTCCCGCTTTTCGAAGCAGTAGCAAAAAAAGGTAGCTGTGATTAGAAAGTTTTTGTAGCTGCTGTAGAGAACAATACGAATTGCGCCGACAAAGGATATGGTGATTCGTTTCGAATGGATTTTGGGCCCAGCGATCAGTTGAATGATTTCCCAAGTGACCTTGCTGCATCTGTGTGAAGTGGAATTGAAATATGTATCGAAAAAGAAATCTTGGTAAAAAGAAGTACGTAGTCAAGTCCGTCCGTTCGCAGAAACGAATCTAGAGTAAATTTATTTGTAAATTTGAATTTGAGTGAGACGCTTGATGTCATTTGAAGCTGAAGAGTCTCCGCTCTTGTCAATTGAAAGACCAATTGTAAGTGTGAATCCTATGAGACGGAGGTTTATGTTCAGCGTGTCGAATGGAATTTCCCTGTACGTCGTGTTCTCCACATATCTACAGAAAAGCATTCTCGTTTGAGTGACGGCGTAGGTTTATACTGATTTGTTCATCGTAACGTATCGAATGATTTTAAGTGCTTTGGGATTTAAATTCGAATGAAAGAAGAAAGAAACGATTCCCCTTAGTTGGTTGAAAAGGACTTCCGCATTTTAAATGTTTTTTTTTCTCTCTTGGGTTAAGAAATAACTCGATTATAGGTCGCACTTTCCCCAAAATTTGTATGCGGCGCACTCCCCAGGTGTTCTGAGTAAAGGCTATGGTACATTCTAATGTGAAATTTGTGTAACAATAGTCCCGTTGAGATCATTAATATCTGCAAAAAAATTATGGGAATTTAGTTCGGGAAATAAAGCATGGTTTGCCGCTATATAGACACCGATTTCCCTCGAGAATTTCCCTTTCTCACTGCCTGTGTTTATTTTTCGTGACGCACTGCCAAAATTCCCCAAGTGCGACCTATGATCGCGGAAATTCTCCATTGGCGCTTCCTCGAGAAATTAAAGGGTAAAATACGAGTTGAAAAATTGTATTCGTCAGCTTCTTCTTTTATACGAACTTGACTCGTATGATGACGTATCTTGACATTTTTTGCATCAAACTTTTGTATTTTCGATACTGACGCTTCCTTGAGAAACGATTTTTAGGTTCAGTTCAATGTTTTAGCTTTCGTCAGAAACTTCAAACGATTTCGGGTGGTGAAGAGCTGAGAGTGATTCTTATTTTTTCGAAATTCTCGTTGACCAAAAAAAATATATATACAGGCGTGTTCACCGAAGACGGTTCGTTCATTGGTCAGTACGCGCCGAAAAAGAACAAGAAGGGCGAAGAAAAAAAGGCGTTGTCGCCGCTGCCGTCCTACGACGCCACGGCGCCCCCAATGTCACCAAGCTTCCAATTGCCGCTGTACGGTTCCGCCGTTTAACGAACCACGAGGTCGGTGTTTCGTTCCAACACATTTTTTTTGGCTCCCCCATTCCCCTGAGGTTTAATTTTCATTGGTTTGTGTTCAGCCGCGATGTGTTAAGTTGTGTCCGTTTTTCAGCACCGCTATTTTTTTCAGCCCTGTTTCTGCACGCTTCGTTAATGACGCAGTTGTGTTGATGATTTTTATGTAATCGAAGGGGATTCGGAAACGTGAGGAGGGATTTTTTTAATGACTCGATGCCGGTCCAATATCTGATGCGTCCAAACGGAGTATTCTTCTCTTTCTCGGACAGCGATTTTCACATACGATTCCATAAATATGGAAGTTTTCTGCGTTTGATTTCCCTGGCAATTTTGTTCGATGAACGAGAATCTCCCGACAGGACACTGGCGACGATTTTTCCCCGCTTTGTTTTTTCGAAGAAGATTTTGAGAGATCTGAAGATGTGTCCGACGAAGTTGAGAATACTCCTTTCGAAATTATAACGTATTTTGCTTATCTGCTTTGACGAGAAAACTGTGCGTGTGCTTGTGGATGCTGCGCGAGATGCTTGGGATTGCTTGCTTTTTGTAAATTTATTACCGCCGTAATAATCTCGAGAAATATGTGATAGGTTATAAAAACAAGAAGAAAAAAAGTTGAACGCGGAAATCATCAGGTTTTGTATGTTGTGTTTCCCTCATCAACTTCGGAATCTTTTGAACGGCCTCTTTTTCCTCGATTTGTTTGTGTGAGTTTTCCTTTTCGGAGAAGATGTTTTATATCTTTGTTATTTAAGGCAAGCGAACGAAAAACATGGCCGTTGACGCGTGTGCGCGAAGATTTGATTTGAAATTTTATGGCGTCCGTGGAACCAAAAAAAAAACATTGATTTTGAGGTGTGTACGTCGTCCTTGTTGTTCGGTTTATGTTGCGTTAATTCCATCCAAGTTTCGAGCAACTGGAAAGGTATTCAAGTCTGCCCCCGCCTTTTTTACGATAGCTCTTGAGGTCAAGTGAAAATCTCTTCGATCTCACAAACGAAGGAAAAAGCTATGTTTAATTTAGCGCGAGAAGCGTCAGCTGTTGGTTCAAACATTTTCGAAGAAGATTTCAGTGTGACTTTTCGTTTGAATATCTCGACGGCTTGATTTTCTCCGCATTTTCTCTTTTGTTTTTCTACGTCGCGCAACGTTTTGACAGTGTTGTGTAATGAAAAAGTAAAAAAAAAAACGTCGTTTTCAGAAGGGGCGAAACTTTCGGATTCAGCTTTGTGTGTTGTCTTCCAGAGTGAAAAAAACCGCGATTATTGTATTGTATCGGCACATATTCTATCGGAAGGTTATTTGCGGATCGTAGTCCCATTTTATGTCGAACGTGCTGTTAGTGGAAAAAGGCGTATGCGAAAAGCATTCCATTTGTTTTTATTTCGAGTTCGGCCGCGTTTTTTTTTTTGTTTGTTTTGGTATGTACTAAATTCGTTGGATCATTTTACGTATGAACTTATTTGGAAAAAGTTCTGGGCATGTATTATTGTTGAAGTGAAGAAATGCTTGCTGACAGAATGCTGAACTTCATTTATTTTACCTTACAACTTCAAGGGAATTGGCATTTTTTTTTGCATTCAAGGGTTGCGAATAAATAAGCAGAACGAATTCGTACGCGAATCGAAAAATTCCCGGGAAACCTGGTTTCCCAAAATGAACCTGCAATTGTAGCACTAGCGTCGTATGATGACGTATCTTGTGATGAAAACTTTGCCTCAAACATGTCAGTTGAACCTTTTTAATTCGAATTTGAAGGAACAATAAAAAGTGCAACTTGAAGAAATTTGAGTTCGGGGAAACTGCAGTGAAGGACTGATGATACAGTGGACTAGCCAAAAAATTCAAGGTGGGCCTTTTTGAACCTCAGGAGGCTTGAGTTGAAAAGGTCTTGATGGTAATATGTTATTTTACTTACTGATCTTCCGCACTGTTCATGGAAAAATAAGCCTGCGAATTTAGTGTGAAAGGAACGAGGCGAGGAAATTAACTACAGGGAAGATTTCACCCCTGCTCTATTTTCAAGAATACTCTTCAATATATTGGGATAACAGTGCGGAATATCTTTCGTTCCTGGCAGATGTCTTGAATTTTGCTGAATCGGGCCTTTGAGGCAGAAAAAGCATTTTTCAAGGTTCCGGTCCTTTTTTTTTTTAAATCCCAGGCGCAAATCGACCCTGAATTTTAAAGTCCCAGCTTTTCAGGTCCAGGAGCCGTAATGTTTTTTGAATCGGTATATAAAACGAATTAAACATTACAGTAAAACGGAGCCTTTACCATAGCCGTACATTTGTACGGCGATAGTCCCATTAAATACCCTTTATTTTAGGATACACAGTGTTTGATTTTATGTCCATCTTAACACGGAATGGTCTATTAGTTTCATTTTTTTGTGGTACACTTGGCTTTGATGATGAGGTTTGTCCCACTTGGATGCGACCTCTGACTATTGTTTGAGTGGGTGTGATTGTAAAAAAAAATAATAATTACATGGTCTATCATGTTCTAAGGTCCTGAGATTTTTTTTTTTGGCTTAGAAAAAGTTTTTCAATTTACCTCATGATGATGAGTAAAAACTTTCCAGTTATCCACCCATTTTACGGGTGCTGGGTGCTAAAAGTTATCAGCATATTAGGCCACCTAAAAATTCATCCAATTCGCCCATCATCTTTCTAAATTTTAAATAATGGTTAAAAGAGAAAAATCGTTCAATTTTTTAACTGTTCTGCCGAATTTTCAGCACCCGCTGTGACATACAGGCGGAGAACTCTGGCTGTAATTAGAAAGTATTCATTTAGCAACTTGCAGTAAATTGAAACACTGTTTTTGATTTTAAAAAAAATCCCAGATCCTTCGAACATCATGGCTTATGTCGTGATTCTTATTTTTTTGCAATCGCACCTATTCGAAAAATATCGGAGGTCGCGTCCTACTGGGACAACCCTCGTATACAGTATTCCGAAAAGTTTTTCTCTTCCGAATTCGTTCTTCGCGGGATTCTTGAGCCTGGTTTAAAATCTCCACACCTGCAGGTTGATTCTCGGAATGCTCGGAGATGAGCAATCGTGTTTATTGTTCCTGCAAAATTACAAACATCGTAATTAAATTCATCGACTTTTCCGTGTTAATTAGTGAGGAATTTTTTTTTTTTCAAGAAACTCACGATTGAAAAGACGGGCGGATGAATGCCAATGGTTGCATTTCCCCGACGTCGGTGTTGTCGCAGAGAATCCGAGCAAAGCTCACCTGTCGGATTTCATTCAGCTGAACTGCAATGATGAGGGAACAAAACCAAAATTATGGTTTCTTTACCCGTATATATTTGCATATATATATATATACAGTATGGGGAAGCTATAAAAGAAATTAGACCCCAAATGAAGTGCCAGAATTATTGCTCGTTGGGAAATCCCTACCATGCAGGTTTATGCATTCAGAACCCGCTCAGCATGTATTAGTTCCGCATCTCCCCTAGATTATATATACTTCTCCGTTTATGTATAATTTCTCATTGCTGATTTGGTCAAAGAATAAACTGCATGAAAACTGCTAGAAATTTAGTCGAACCTTTTCTCAGTCCGTGGGACTCACATAAATGTGGCAAGAGAGTTTTTTCGAGTTTTGGAAACGAATTCGGTGATGATATTCTGGGCATTCTTGAACTGCTTAGTAAGTGAGGTCGGGTTGTTGAACTTGAAGGAAAGTTACATTTGGCAAATCAATTCGCTCACCTTCTTCTGGAAAATCATCAAGCTACGTTTTATGAACGCTCTTCTCCTTATCATCGCTGGGTCACAGGAATAAAAAGAAAAACCACAGAAAACGGCCTATCAAATTTTGAGTGTCCCAGATTTTATTGAGGGAAACAGTGTTTAGAGTCGTCGGGATGTCTGTAATGTGCATTAAAATCTTCGTCGTTAAGCTGAAGAAAGCTTCTCGGACCTACGGGAAAGGCTCTGTTTTACTGTAATGTTAAATTCGTTTCATATACCGATTCAAAAAACATTACGGCTCCTGGACCTGAAGAGCTGAATACGTTGTAAGCAATAATTCGTTGTAACGATATTTGTTATCGTGATGATGGTATGAGATTCTAATGTGCAGTAATACACTGTTCTCGAGGCAATCATACACAGGGACAAAGCTAAAAAAAAATTGAAAAAGGCCGGGTTTTGACTGAGTCAATTTTAGAATCGACTGTCAACATTCTATTTAAAATTGTCTAAAACTCCAAATGGTACTTCGCATCTACTTGAATGACTTGAAATTTTGAGACAGCTTGTGATGTATCTGGCACAACTCTTTTTCTCCGTTTAAAGTGTTGTAAACTTCACAAAAAAAATTACAATACAGGTGAACCTCAATACCTTGAATCTCCTCAAGACAAATACCCCCCCAAGTCAATTTTTTTTTTAGATCCCCATCTGAATCCCTTTAGAAGTAAAACATTGAAAACCTCCTCAAGTCGAAGGCTTTACCCCTCAGCCCTCTGTAAGTTGAATTTTCTGTGGCCTGTTGGCTATTATTTTCTTCACACAAAAAAGAAAAAAGTACCATAAAAACAGAAATTGATGTGTTTCAAAAGGAAGTGAAAGACTTAATTGGGCAAATGAACCCCTGCCTACAAGCTCATTAGTTCAGCATCCTTTCAACTCATTTAAAAAGCAATTTGAGCCCCAGAATACCACCACTTAAAATTTTTGGAAATTTCTCTATGTTTCCCAGAACAAAAAAGCTTTTTATTGCAGCTCAAACCTCTATAATTTAAAACCTCTCAAAGTCAAAACCTCCCTAAGTCAAAATTTTTGGGTGGTCCCATGAAATTAGACTTGGAGGTGTTCAACTGTATAATAAATATGGACTCATGTATCGAATGTGCAAATGAGTAAAAAGAAAATCCCTGCTGAGTTTAGGAGTTCATAAACAGAAGAAATCACCCCCCATGAAATTCAAGGAACAGTTTCACTGACCCTCATTGAAAGAATGGGGCTGGCCTCCCAGGTCGTAAAAAAACCTGTCGCCTCGTTTCGCCCTCGTAAACTGGTCCCCAAGGATGCAAATAAAAGTGGGTCCCAGCACTGCATCGGGTAGAGGGTTTTCAGAGACCCCACCGATGAACAGATCGATGTCTTCCACACTGGCGTACACAGACTGCAACCTTCGGACAGCCTGTGTTGATTGAAATTAATTGTAGAAAAAGGCAGCATGAAACCTTCAAATCACTTTATATATATATACCAGACGGGGAAAAATAATTAAATGGATCGAAAAATAAAATGACGAAGCTGGGTCCTCGTCTATCTATGCCCTTTTCGGATTCAGAAAACCGGCGGTAGCAAACTTGAACTAGCACATAATTATATAAATTTGGCCTCTTTTTATAACATATATTCTTTTTTCTTCTTCAGATGATCATTACATCGAAGTGCAGTAGCTTTTCAGGGATTCAGAATTTGAAAATTCGGAAAAAAGCATCTGATGTGAACATTTTTGCAAACATAACACAAGATTGAGATTTTATCAGTGTAAATTTCTATATTTTGCTGTTTTGTAATTTTTTGTGAGTATCAAAGGGAAAAATATCCCGCGGAAATCTTTTCGGTAACATCATCCAATTGATGATTCTTTTTATTTTTCGATCTTTATCTCACTTGAACAAAAGACCAGGGAAATAAAAAACCTCTCATAAGACTATTCAAAATAATTTCCATTCAAGAATAAACAAATTCAGTTCATAGCGTATTTAGTTTTCTGTTTTTTTATGTTTTTTTTTATCGGGAAGATCTCCAAGTCTGTTTTCTATCGCCTATTTTCGAAAAAAATTGTGGACCGAATGAAAAAAGCAACAAGTTGGATCCTTATTTATATTAATAAGCCACTACTGTATATCATTTTAGATTGGGCGAAGTATTTTTGGAACTTCGAAGTTCTGCAAACGAATCGATCTCTTAGTACGACTTAATCGTAAGAAATTAATTCAGCCCAAACTAAGTGTGCATTTAAGAGATATCAGAAAATCTAGCCAATTTCCCTCTTCCGGGTTTTCCCAAATACAATATGGTATGTAAATTATTACCCCGTGATAATAATTTAAAATGAAAAAAATTATCTTAAAGAATAATAATATCTACTGATCGAGGTATACGAAACATCTCAACAGGGGTGAACTGCATCATCAATAATTTCAGCAACTCAATTTTGAATCCAGGTCACAATCAGAAAACAGCAGCACTAAATAACTTCCGTACAGTCAGTCCAGTCAGTTATTGGGTCACCTGTGCATACCCATATCGAAACTGAGGTCGTTGAAGTTGTTGGCTCTTCCGATTCCACACAATTCCCGCATGTCATTGTATGTTGGCAAACCGTGGTCCCTTCCTCTATGGATATTCAGCGATATCAAATCCATTCCGAACGGATTGTTCTTCTTGAACAACTGGTTTGTCAACTGTTGGATACAGTATAGGAAATAAGAATGGTGCGTCATTGTGGCTTTCGCGAATGAGGAATGACTTGAGTATTGAGTGCCATATTTTTTTTCAAGTTTTCAAGAAATATTCGTCCTCACGCAAGCAAGACGAAGCCCTAGATTTCGCACCCCAAAATTCGGTTAAAAACCAATTTAATAGTAATATTTATACCCCATTTTTTATATAGAAAAAAAACGGGGGTTAACTTCTTTATATCGGAATGTCTTTTGTCCAAAACGTTATTAAATAAAATAAAAATTCCCACAGAGTGAAGAATTCATGAGTCACATAGCTCAACATAAACAGCAGTTATACCGTGAATTTCCCCGTAATAGAAAATTCTGTAATATCAACGGGATTTTTTTCATGGAAGTATAATGTGCGATTTTATAGAAGTAGTAAGTGCTATTTGTTTTGATGTACCTTGACAACATTTTGTGGAACAAATATTTGTAAAATTCCTCTCTGTCAATGGGATTTCTACCTTTAGAATTTTAAAATTTTTTGTTGCAATGAATACCGTATTTATTCAAGTACTGTACCACATATCCTCGAGTAAAATTTTCACCTGAATTTTTTAGCCTCGAATTTCGATAAAAATCGGTCCTGGAATAAGACACGCCCCCAATTTTCAGTAATTTAAGAATGAGAATATACAGTACTTTGAAAGTGAAGCGCATTTGACTTGAATTGAACCCAAGTTGGATTGACGCTTGTTTGATCCCTTTTGAAATTTTTTTGTTAAAATTTGCTCACGGTGTTCCATTGGAATCATGTATCAAAATTTTGAAAAATGTAAAACCTGCCTGTATAAATTTCTCTTTAATTTTGTTCCTCTTCAATTTTGAAAGAATGTGCTTCTACATGATTCATACTCGAGTAAATACAACATATAAAATTATAAAGGGGAAAAGAATAAGAAATGCAAAGGAAACCTCTTCCGTGATGCTGTTGTCAAAGGTCTGCATGGGCTGCAAAGTCATGCCTCGCACGAGTCCATCAGCAGCTCCTGGTGCGTTGAGGAAACTTGGGTTGTTGAAAACGTTTCTCAGCTCCAGCACTTGTTCAGGAGAACCCGAACGAGCCTCGAAAACCCTTCAAGAAAAACCCAGAAGAAGTGTAAGCTAGTGCTATATATTTTAAAAATAGCAGACGAGGCAGAGCAAAAAAAAAAAAAAAAGAAACCCCGTTTTCAGAGGATTCCAGCAGATGAAACTTATCAAAAACACTATTTTTTTCTTGTGAAGAGCAGCGATTATCTATCGTCGTGCTAAAAGTGTTTTCTTTTATGGAGTGAGTCAAGTTTAATTTTTATTCATTGTTCAAGTACAAAATTTGGAACAGGACTAAAAAGTTCGTGCACGATGTAAAAATGTGTGCACCAAAACCCTTTTTTGGTTTGGGTACTTCGCGTATAGTTTTAGGTGTAGGTGTGTAAAATAATTTTTAAAACCTTTGAAAAATAATTAAACTCACAAAACTAATTTCGCCAGCGCTATTTAGGACTTGTCACAGAGTCTTGGAATTTCGCAGTGAATCGAAGTGACTTTTCAATTTAAAATTTCTGCAAAAGCATAGTTTGCTTAATTCCCTTTGTAAGTTCTGTGACTTTCTGTAACAATGCATAGATGTTGCCCGTATGTTTGCTGTGGCGTTGTAACATAAGAGTTGCATGTGATAATAATTATAGTAGATTAAAAAAATAATCTAAAAAACAGAAAACCGGCGGTAGCAAACTTGAACTAGCACATAATTATATAAATTTGGCCTCTTTTTATAACATATATTCTTTTTTCTTCTTCAGATGATCATTACATCGAAGTGCAGTAGCTTTTCAGGGATTCAGAATTTGAAAATTCGGAAAAAAGCATCTGATGTGAACATTTTTGCAAACATAACACAAGATTGAGATTTTATCAGTGTAAATTTCTATATTTTGCTGTTTTGTAATTTTTTGTGAGTATCAAAGGGAAAAATATCCCGCGGAAATCTTTTCGGTAACATCATCCAATTGATGATTCTTTTTATTTTTCGATCTTTATCTCACTTGAACAAAAGACCAGGGAAATAAAAAACCTCTCATAAGACTATTCAAAATAATTTCCATTCAAGAATAAACAAATTCAGTTCATAGCGTATTTAGTTTTCTGTTTTTTTATGTTTTTTTTTATCGGGAAGATCTCCAAGTCTGTTTTCTATCGCCTATTTTCGAAAAAAATTGTGGACCGAATGAAAAAAGCAACAAGTTGGATCCTTATTTATATTAATAAGCCACTACTGTATATCATTTTAGATTGGGCGAAGTATTTTTGGAACTTCGAAGTTCTGCAAACGAATCGATCTCTTAGTACGACTTAATCGTAAGAAATTAATTCAGCCCAAACTAAGTGTGCATTTAAGAGATATCAGAAAATCTAGCCAATTTCCCTCTTCCGGGTTTTCCCAAATACAATATGGTATGTAAATTATTACCCCGTGATAATAATTTAAAATGAAAAAAATTATCTTAAAGAATAATAATATCTACTGATCGAGGTATACGAAACATCTCAACAGGGGTGAACTGCATCATCAATAATTTCAGCAACTCAATTTTGAATCCAGGTCACAATCAGAAAACAGCAGCACTAAATAACTTCCGTACAGTCAGTCCAGTCAGTTATTGGGTCACCTGTGCATACCCGACCCAAGTCACGCAGTCGGACCCCGAACGAATTATTCCCTTTCGTCACGGCGTATATGCGTAACATTTCAAAAAAGTCTATAGCTTTAAATTCGTCGAAAGTCTCTTTCCGATNACATTTTTTTTTCTTTCCTTCCACTTGAGTTTCCGACTGAATTGTTTGTATCTTCGGCTGTCATTTTTCATGGAAAAGGAAATTCGGCACAATGCATTTTATCCCCATCCCTTTTTAAAAAATGGAAGTACTCTACTCGCACGTGAGGTGCACTATTTTCCCTAATTTTTCCTCTAAAAGTGTATTTCGTGGTATTGCGAGTACCCTACTTTTTTTTTTGCCTCAATTTAAAGAAAAAAAAGTGCATGAGGTACTCGCGTAAATGCTGTATTTATCTTGAAAAGCTGAATGCACCGCCCAATAAATGCGGTATTTACTGTTTTTATAGCCGCGTCTTCAAATACAGTAATTTGTGATGGGACACATTAAATAATTTTTAATCCGTAAAAAAATAAGTATATTTAGGTAATCGAATGGCTCGGTTCTTATAGGAACTCAAAATTGCGAGAAAGTCCCGTTAAATTCACATTTAGAAGAATAGAATTGCTGATTTATTTATTTCCAATTTTTTTTCGAATGGAGAATTCAATTCATGCTGATATTCGATCATATTTCGGATGAAACTGCTGTTGAAGAATAAATGCGTTATTGTTATTTTTACGATGAGAATTCGCAAAAAGCCTCGCCAAAACTGGAAAAATTTTAATAGGAAAGTATTGCATGCATGTTGTGTAACATTGTTTCATTTTCATTTGGTTATTAAATTATATGGTACAACATTATTTAAAATGATTATTTGAAGAATCCTTGTGCGAAAAGATCTTATTGATATTCGCCAGCAATTTTTCAAAACTGCTCCAGACGAGAAACTATTTTTCAGTATTTTTTTTTAACTATACGTTCAGGAAAGAAACTACTCAAATTATCCAAGATTATACCAGCTGTAAAAACAATTTGCATTCATAAATACTGAATGTATTACATTTATAACAATAATTATAATGCATGGCAATGCTGTACCTGATCAGCGTATCCGAGTGTGCAACCAGGTCTTGGAGCAGGGATTGACCTGACAAACTCCATGCACCTGTTGCCAAATCTTGAGTAAAATCTATCATTTTGAGGTATGTCAATGGGCATACAAGCCGGATGTGGAGCAGGATTGATGGGATTATTATTCCTGCAACACAGGATTCCTGTGTTCTGCTGCGCATCTGGAAGACGAAAATTTTTAAATTAAACGAAACGCCCAAAATTATTCCCATCGTATGGTTCTCACCGAGTTTGAAAACCCCAGCATGTGTCATATCGTGATCCAAGAATTGACCCCATTGCATGACCAGCAGGGTGAGGAAATCATCAGGACTGTCTGTGTCGTGGATGGCAGCCGTGCTGATTGCTCTCGCTGAAGGCAAGGGCTGACCTGTCACCCTGGAAAATTGCCTGGGCTCCCAAACACCTTTGAAATTTGATTTTTTACAATTCATTAAGCTGATTGAGTCGAACGTGTCGAGGGAATTGTGCTGCTGTGATCTCATTAATTGAGGTGTCTGAATAATTGCTAAATTATTGAGGAAATTCAATGCAGGTTTTTGACACTTGCTCGGTGGCAGGTTCATTTCCATCGAGCTGCCAAAAAGTCAAGGTTCTGGTATAATTGATCAAAGATTGCCAAAATACAGCCTAACAGCAAAAAGTTTTCTTTATTATAAGCAGAAGAAAAATTTATCTTTTCCTGCTGCTGGACTTTGGAGAAGTTGATGAGGTTAGAGTTTTTTCTCCCAATGTTTTCCCTTTTGTGTGCTTAATTTTGCAAAAATACTCTTACTTCACCACAGAAGGGTTAAGCATCTCTTTTTGTTTCCCAGAATTCTCAATTTCAGTATAAAGGTCACCTTTTTAGTGGAAAGAGAAGCATACAGAAGTTCAAGATGGTCTCAACCTTGTCTGTGTGTGAGATTATTTTGAAATATTATTTTCCAAGTTTGAGAAAAGCTATAATTTTTCAAAATTCTTCAATGATATGGTAGGAATGCAGAATAAAAAAAATCTGGGTTTAGAAAATCCCAATGTCTCAAGATACAGTATCTCTAATGTTAATCCTATGCTAGGAATGCATGAAAAAAATACCACCTAGGCAGGAATATTTATTTTTGAGCCAAAATTTTCTGCAGGATTATGAAAAAAATATTGGGCTTTTCCTGACTTATATAGGCCTTGGCTAAAAATTTATTTTTTAGTTTGCAGCCCTCATGTGAAAAAAAAAAATTCTAAAATAGCCCAATTGTGCCACACAAGGGTTAATGTTTGTTTTTACCCATCTGCTGCTAAATTCTGTCAGAACTGCTGTATGCGCATAAAATTATAAAAAAAACTGGTACAGTATATGATTTACCATCGTTGTATGTCGGGGGGAGGATGCGTTGCATTGCAGTGTTGGTCATTCCCCAAGAAGGATTCCGCAAATTGTTACAGCTCCCATCTATGGTCCTGTACCTTTGCTGATTGGCTCTTTGGCAATTTGGCAGCGGTGGACAGACGTTAGCCAGATTGGCGCCTCCAAGGTTGAACTTTTGAAGACCATAGCCAGCTTCCAGTGCACTCAGGCCATACCTATATCGCATCATTTATTCCCACAAATGTTGAGCATCATGAAGAAATTTCAATTGTAATTTAACATTTTTATTTTTATTGGGACACAGTATATAACAGGTGCAAAATAATATAAAGAAAAACTCACTCTCTGACGAGATTTCTGCTGGCTTCGATCCCTACTAAAGCGCCTCTGGCGAGGGTCAGTGCGTCAGGACTGACTTTGAAGAATTGCTGATGAAAAGATGCTGGCGATCCCTTTGCAATCACACTTTCTTGCGCTTTCAATCTCGATTCAATTTCCAAGATCTGGTTGACAGTGCCTTGTCCGGATTGACCCGCTGTTCTGACGTTGTTCTGACTGATGGTCTGTCTGATTTGCACGTCCTGGAATGGCTTGGCAAATACTTGACCTCCTCCGCCTGAGGAAAATGAAATTCTTACTTTTTTAAAATTTACTCTATCGGATGTTTCAACTACGCATCTATTTTCTCTTAAATGGGACGATAAGAGGCCGATAAATCAGTCTGAAATCCCCCATTTATCGATAAAATTAGCATAAAGTTCGGGGTTCTTAAAGAACGACTCCGCGTTTGGTCCTTTAAAGATTCCCTACTGAAACTTTCAATTAATTATAGTACCAATCAAGAGACTATAGAGGAATAGAACCTTAATCGGATGAAATTCGATGAATCATACGTTTTTCTTTTGATGTAATTTCGGTTTGATGACAAAAGGGTTGAAGTCTGACGTATTGATCATAATATTCTGCTGTAATTATTTTTTGAAAAGTGTCACTATGGCTTGCCCATGTTTAATTTTGCGCTTGAGCAACATTTCTACATGAAACTGCGCCTGCTTTTAATTATAGTGTTATTGAATAATTATCTTGGTTGATCTTCAATTATATTTCAACCCATGAGACCATTGCTAAAGCTTTATAAAAAGTTATAATCTGTGCATGACTACCTTTCAATGAAGCCATCTGTATGCGAAAATATGCGCTCGACACCCTTTATGATTAATGATATTAATGATTATACTGTGAAGCAATTTCTGCATGAATTTCGCTGAGTGCCGCTGAAAATTCTTAATTGACTCAAAGTAATTCTAAAAGTATGCGTGATTTATTTGCAATTTCTTTGAATTATAAGTATTCATTAATGCATACATGGGATCATCACACACTCGGTGTTTTTGCATCAAATGGAGTGGATAGCTCCAGAGAAAGCCAGCTGTTGCAAACTTTTCTTGTGTTGTCCCAAAAAATTGAAACTTCGTACTTTTAAGGTTTTTGAACTGTTTGAAAACAGACAAAGATTTGTAGAATTAGTCGGGACGACTAATTAAGTACGTAAATAAAAGTTTAGAAAGAACGAAAGGTCACGACTCGAGAAAATTTATTTTTATTTTATTTTTTTATTTTATTTTTTTTAAGCAAAATCAGTAATCTTCAGCAATGTGCTGATTCATTTGCTACTTTCTGATTTATTAGCAATTTTCTGAATCTTAACCGACTATCTTAATCTTAAGCTTTATGCTAGGATGTATAAGGTCCCAGCCACAGCCTGGCTGATTAATTCATGGATTTATTTCAAATCTTTCTTGCTTTCCAGTGCTGAGCTCTTTTAGCAAAATCAGTAGTCTTTAGCAATGTGCTGATTCATTTGCTACTTTCTGTCTTATTATTAGCAATTTTCTGAATCTTTAGCTATTTTTCAGCTTTTGTGAGCAAATCCAAACTTTCTCTCACAATATTCTGGAAATATGGACAAAAACTCTTGGCGGGTTTGGCTTTACAAGTCTGTACAGTATTTATTAAAAAAAAAGCGATTTTGGCTTTACGTTCCTTAATTTTTTTCGATTATGAAATTAATCTAAAAAGAAAGAAAGAAAACGTGTCTGTCGGAATTATCGAATCGGAAACCTGCGGCGGGGAACGAAGGCGTCGCGGACGGCGGGCAGCAGACGCCGTTCAGCCCGTCGCTCAGCACGCAGGCGGCGACACTGGGCGTCCCCTGGGCGTTCCCGGCGCCCGCAAACAACTGGGTGCACGCAATCGCCGGCACGCACTGGCCAGGAATGCCCGTGAAATCCGTGCACGCCACGCTTTGCTGCTGCTGGGGTCGGTTGTTGCCCGGGAAGCCCGGAAAGACGCCCGGGTTCTGAGAGCCCGGGGGAAAACTCGGCCTCGCCGGCCTGTTATTGGACCCGCCGCCGCCCGCGCCGGGGAACCTGACCTGACCCAAGGTCGGCACTGACACGGAGATTAATGCCAACAGGGTGAACCGTGCTGGGGCAGAGACTATCCTTCTCGCCATGGCGTTTTTTCTGCTGTGCGTTGTTTTTTCAAGACACCGAAATCTACAGCAAAAAAAAAAAGATAGTCAAAAGAAAAATTCTTCAACCAGAAAAAAATTGAAGCTAAGTACAAAGATTGTCGAAAGGCAAATTAAAAAAAAATTGAGCTAAATAAATGATTCCTTGGATCACGAAAATCGTCAAATTTTTTTCTCGAAATTCGTAAAAAAAATAATTCCCAGTTGCGCTATCCGATGCGTGCAAATAATCAGCCATTTTAAAACGTGTTTTGACCACGACAAAAAAAAAAAAGATGTTAAAATTTCGAACTGATTAAAAAAAAGCGCCTATATATATTCCACATTGAAGCACGGAATTTTCACTATCGAAAAATACAATGGAAAGAATTGAAAGATCGACACAATGGGTGGAAATATTGCAAATATGCAAGAATTCATTTAAAAAAAATCGTCGAATCACGCAAATACCGTATTTCTCGACATATTTTAACGGATTTTCGGGCAGTTCGCTGAATTTCATGTTTTTGATGGAAATTTGAAGGTTCTATTCGTCCGCGTCGAGCGTGAAGAAAACCTGCAAAAAACTCTTTCATTTGCAGGCAAATACGCGCACAGTATCTTGAAATATTGGAATGGATTTTTCAAATGGCCAAATTCACTCGCAAAAAGTATGAGCTCGCAAACTTTCATCAGAGGGATTTGAAAAGGATTTTCTCCATTCTTTCGTATTTATTCTTTTATCTATGTTAAATGGAGGAACTCGGGGAATGCACTAAAAATGTTTGAGTATCGCATCAAAACAAGCATAAAAAGTAAGAAATCGTGCGTTAGAAAACGACATTTTCTAAATACCTATACGTATTTAGTACCGTTTTTATTCGAATGCCATTTATTCAAGCATTGACCGAGATATATAATATAAAAGACGGCAATGATAATGGAATGATGTGGAAAAACTTCCGCCAAAGGAAAAAAAACCCATGCCAATCGTTTTTGTCCACACTTTTTTTGTCTTTTGTTTAGACATTTCCCTTTTGTTATAAGTTTTTCGCCACGCCAAATTGATATTTTTTCCGTTTGAATTTTTGGAAGTTCTTCGACAAAAATTATCGAATAGTAAATTCCTCTTTTATGACCGGGCTGATCGAAGTTTTTCTTCTATGTGCCAAAAAAAAAAGTTATACTGTACCTTCGTGTTCCACCGAAAAAACGGGATCTATTTCATACTTTTTCAAATAAAACTCGATATTATTCTCCCCTCACTTAGCGGTTTCAAATTGATCGTATCAAATTCTAAATGTTTTGTGAAATATGCTGGAAATTATACGCAGTCGAATTGGAATGTGGGGGTTGTCTGAGTGGGTTGAAGTAAAACAAAAAGCCTCGCCAAATGTAACACCCAGGTGGGAATTCGAGTGGAAATTCAAACGGTACTTCGGAAATTCTCGGCCAACTTTTGGAATTCATGGGCTAAATTACGAAGGGCATCAAGCGGCTCAAAGGTCAATTTTTAAATTGAAAGGTCAGCTTTCTATTCGGCAAAATGCGGCATCAATTTGATCCATGAAATTGAGAGGGATGCATTTTAGTTCGATTGATTACCGGTTCGTGAAATTTCAATTTGCATGATTTATGAAATTTGAGTGAAATGGTAAATTCAGCAAGTGAGCAGCAAAAAGATTAAAAAACGGTAAATAATGGCACACTTTTTGCCAATTTTACGAATACAAGAATTCGACGATTTCATTTCCACCTATAATCATTGTAATGGAATTTTTCTGAAAGCTAGGAACTTTAAGCACAACGAACCTCAAGAACTACAAAAAATATTTTGCCAATTGAAACACGATGCAATTTTAGGAATCTGGTTCCTATGCTATTCATCTGAATAACTTTTTTTTGATTCGCATAAAAATTTTCGGCCTTGAAAAACTCAATTTTTTTTCTCAAAGGGGCTGTAAGAAAATCCAGGCGTGGCAGAAAAATGCTTGTAAAAAAAAATTTCAGAGAGAATCTTCAACATACATAATGAAACCACCGCACAATTTTGCAAAAAAACCAGACTATCCAATGAGTTCTTTAGCTTCCAAATCGACGCATTCATTTCAGGAAAAATCCTCCACATTTCACTCAAACAGAATGAAAAATTACTAACTTCTACCTTTTTATGCGCTTCTTTTGTCTTCTTTGAACTTATTTTAGAAAGTAAACTGAAGACTACCTAGACGAACCCTTGACTTTTAAATTTAAGACAGAAGTAAAAAGTCAAAAGACCTCAATAACCTTCTCTTCGTATTTTATTTCACAGGCATTTTCTCCAGCGGCATTTTTGACACGTCGACATATGTCCCGCTGCAAACATTCGGAAACTTTTTTCAAAAGATTTTAATTATTGAAATTCCATCCAATGAGTAAAAAATAAAGCGTTTTTACGAAGTCTGAACATGCATCATTTTATTTTCAACTGGATACCCAATACAGTATAAAGCTTCTTTCCTTGTAATGAAATCTATCTAGGTATATAATTGTGCCGTGGATCGAATGTACGTTAGTTGTCCGTGCGAAATCAAGATAAAAATTTTGTACTCATTCGGAAAATGCGAAAGCAACGCATGATTCATGAACGAAAAAGGAGATATTTCAACCTTTCCAAGTCCTTCGTGAAAACACTTCACAATGAAATTCAAAAAGCTAAGAAAAACAGGCATTTTTTTATACGTTATCTTGAGCAATTCTTTTCATCAACAAATGCTTTTGATCACGTTGTTCGGCTGCTAAATGCCCCCAAGGTTCTTCACCAAGTCCAAAATTAAAAATTATAAAGTACTCCCACACGGAATCAAGAGCAAAATTTGCATGAATAACAAATGAAATTGAAATCTGTAGAATTCGAGGTTATACACTCCGTGTCATGAAAGTTCAGTGAAACTCAGCAGCAGAGCGCCGAATTTTGATCAAGGAAAATTTCGTGTTCATATCCCACGTCGTTTTCAAACTGATGCTGGGGAATTTCCTTGACAGAAACTGAGGAAACACTATTTTTTCCGGGCTGAAGTTGACCAGCAATCACCGGAAGTTTGTCTTGGCTCTTACACTTCCTGTTTCCTGCTTGGCAACAAGAAATATCAGAACTTCGAGGCAACTTTTTTCAAAATAACTGGGTTATCACTTTTTGTGTCGCCGCGTCCGCAAGTTTGTTCGCTTNTCGTGAAATTTCAATTTGCATGATTTATGAAATTTGAGTGAAATGGTAAATTCAGCAAGTGAGCAGCAAAAAGATTAAAAAACGGTAAATAATGGCACACTTTTTGCCAATTTTACGAATACAAGAATTCGACGATTTCATTTCCACCTATAATCATTGTAATGGAATTTTTCTGAAAGCTAGGAACTTTAAGCACAACGAACCTCAAGAACTACAAAAAATATTTTGCCAATTGAAACACGATGCAATTTTAGGAATCTGGTTCCTATGCTATTCATCTGAACTTTTTTTTGATTCGCATAAAAATTTTCGGCCTTGAAAAACTCAATTTTTTTTCTCAAAGGGGCTGTAAGAAAATCCAGGCGTGGCAGAAAAATGCTTGTAAAAAAAAATTTCAGAGAGAATCTTCAACATACATAATGAAACCACCGCACAATTTTGCAAAAAAACCAGACTATCCAATGAGTTCTTTAGCTTCCAAATCGACGCATTCATTTCAGGAAAAATCCTCTACATTTCACTCAAACAGAATGAAATTAATGATTGAAGATGGAAAAATACGCGAAGAAAACAGAAGAAACTTGAATAAAATCTTTCATTTGACTTCTGATGGATCTGCTTGGGAACTGAAAATTTAAATTCTGTCTTCATTTTTCAGTTTTCGCCTCAATAACATTCTCTTCGTATTTTAATTCACAGGCATTTTCTCCAGCGGCATTTTTGACACGTCGACATTTTCTTATGTAGTCCCGCTGCAAACATTCGGAAACTTTTTTCAAAAGATTTTAATTATTGAAATTGCATCCAATGAGTAAAAGGAAGCGTTATTCTGAAGTTTGAACATGCATCATTTTTTTCAACTGGATACCCAATATAATGCTTCTTTCCTTGTAATGAAAATATATCTAGGTATATAACTGTTCCGTGGATCGAATGTACGTTAGTTGTCCGTGCGAAATCAAGATAAAAATTTTGTACTCATTCGGAAAATGCGAAAGCATTGCATGATTCTTGGACGGAAAAGGAAATTTTTCAACCTTTCCAAGTCCTTCGTGAAAACACTTCACAATGAAATTCAAAGAGCTAAGAAAACCAGGGATTTTTTACCCGTTTTCTTGAGCAATTCTTTTCATTAAAAAAATGCTTTTGATCACGTTGTTCGGCCGCTAAATGCCCCCAAGGTTTAAGTGGTTCAGGTTTTAATTTTTAATATTTCATGAGGGTGTGCCTTAGTTCTCGTTTTAAACGTACTTATTGTTTACTTTAACTTTAGACATCTTAAGCTCCAATATGTGAGGCACAGTACTTTCAACAGTGAAACTCAGCAGCAGAGCGCCGAATTTTGATCAAGGAAAATTTCGTGTTCATATCCCACGTCGTTTTCAAACTGATGCTGGGGAATTTCCTTGACAGAAACTGAGGAAACACTATTTTTTCCGGGCTGAAGTTGACCAGCAATCACCGGAAGTTTGTCTTGGCTCTTACACTTCCTGTTTCCTGCTTGGCAACAAGAAATATCAGAACTTCGAGGCAACTTTTTTCAAAATAACTGGGTTATCACTTTTTGTGTCGCCGCGTCCGCAAGTTTGTTCGCTTTTGAAATATATTTTTATTTTTATTTTGAGCGTTCCAGAAAAATTATTCCTTTCAGTGTACGAAAAATTTAAAAAAAATAGAACTTGTGAAATAAAGGAATGACGAACAATTTCCGTTGATGCTTTGAATTGAAAGCACTGCTATAATACAGGATAAGGTGTGATGACGATCGAGAGCTGGCTTGCGTGGGACGAAGACA